TTCCCTAGTAAATATGCAAGAAAGACATCTCATCTGCTCTTCAAGGGCTCATACCAACAAGATCTACTACACTGCAATAGCACTTCAGGCAACATTGAAGGGATTAGGCTAATTTGGGGTTTAGAGCACGGAGATAGAAAAGATAGCTTCAGGAGGTGCTTTCCGGGTTCAAAGCTCCCAAAAAGCATACCGTGACCAGCACTTCTGAACCTGAATGATCACCGTTATTTGGCACCACCATGCTGCTGCGAGTCAGCTGGGTTCAAGCTGGCATGGACACACTGCAGGCTCTGCTGGAGAGACAAGCGTGGCTCCTGCATGGCTGCACTGGTAGCTTTCTGCCTTACTCCTGCATCTGTTATATCTCCATTATCCTTCTGCACATCGCCACATTGCCATAACGTGTGGGTTGAGAACACTACATTTTCTGACTGTGGCAGCACCCGAATCAGACAGCAACCCCCCTTTTGTGCCGTACCTCTCAACATAACAAGACAGACAATACCTGACAACAAAACCATTTGATGGGAAATATAAAGATCAGGTAAGCAGAGACTGGAGAGTTTATTCCCCTTCACTGTATTAGTTTCTCCTATTACTACACACACATCACTTACTTTCCGGTTGTTTTTCATTAGGCGTTATCGATCTCACGAAATCCTGCGGTGTCATAAAAACCTCCGATTCACCATGCTCATTTATGACTTTCAAAGTGGCAAAGTATCTGAAGATTTTGTCCGGTGTGGAGTAGGCTCTGATCCTGTTCTCATATTCCATCACCTGGAAATGAAATTCAACCAGCATTAGGTGTGCACAGTTCCTCCCCTAACACCGACATTAGCACCTTAGTCCTCTGAAGGTTTCGCCACATGACAACAAAGTTGTGTGCAGCAACACAACACTTTAAAGAAATAATGTTGAAAGGGTCAAAATTCCTCCTATCCTCAGCCTTTGAACTACCAGGAAAATTGGAAGTATCAACTCCTGATGTCCCAGAATTAAGAACACACACTAAAAGTCTTTACTATTGATAAGTTTTGACTCTTTATGATGGCAGAGAAAAAAAAAAAAAATTAACAAAAGCCCTGAAAGCACTTTTAAACACTAACATAAAAAACCACTAGTATCACATCTGTGAATATAAAGCAGCTCAACAAATTAAACAGTGTTGAAGGGTCTGATTTATGATTAATAAACAAGGTAAAAGGAAAGTCTTGGAGAACTGGGAGAGACCTTTACTTTCAGGCCGAGTCTTGGAAAAAACTACTTGGAGCCGCAGCTGGTTGCTCAGTCACCCAACCTCATTTTTTCCTCTTTTCTATCACATTGGCGAAGTTCCACAGAAACATCCTTTACTCAGTCCATTTCTCCCCACCAATCTGCCACTTGCTAACGCTGCCAGCAGTGATTATTTTGTACCTAGCACTGGTTTCCCCAACACACAGACAGAATTAATCAAAGAGAACAGAAAGCTTTTATAAACAAAAATCACAACATAAGACCACAAGGGAGGAAAAAAGACACAAAGACCTACACTTCGCTATGTATTAGAGCAGAAAACTTTCCTTCTTAGTTCAGCTTTTTATTCCTGCATTATACATCACATTTAACAGTCCATAATGTACCTGAAACCTTCAGTACTTCTGGCCAAGAGCCACGGGGGTGGGGGGGTGGGGGGGAACCAACCACCAACGATCTGCTGGAAGAGAACAGGCAAGATCAAGGGTACTGCCAAGGCATCTGTAGATCATTTATGGCTTTGGCCCCGTTTCAGCCTTGTCCTTTAACTCAAACAACTTCTCCACCCCGATGTTTATCAGAAAGAAAACACTCTAATTTTTCATATTTCTAGGATAAAACAAGCCAAAAGCTTTTAATCTCCCAACCCAGGCTTGGGTAAAGTCACTGGGGAAAGCAGAGCCTCTCTCCTCTACACTTGTTGCAGCTCAGCTCTCCAGCAAATCCGACCGGGGGACAAGCAACATGCAGCAGAAGGTCCCACTGATATGGCTTTGACGTTATCTTAAGCATTCTCCCTATTCTTCTTTGCATCACCGTAACTTTTTTATAATCAGGCCCATCAGGAACACAAATGTCCTTGCATCAACCAACACAACCAGCTTCCTCTTTCCTGTAGCCACCTGCATAAAAGAAAATTTTTGTCACTACTCCCTTTTCTTACTGGCCTTTGCACCTAGAATCAAACTTCATCCCATTTTTATTGCTTCAGTCCACAAGATCCTCCAAAGATAAGGGTATTGGATCAAAAGCAATTGTTTTATTGCAAAGTTACAAGTTGCCGTCTATCAGCCGAACCGCAGTAAATGACAACACGCACTTTCCCAGCTCTTTCCAGCTGCAAAGCTGCATGCGTCTTTGCCTACAGCTCCTACCTGGCAGGCGGTAACTTGTTATGCCGAAGTGATCTTTTGACTTGTGATTGCAGGTCCATTTCTCACTTCTTCCTATCGCAATGACCTGATCTCATTACGAATAACACCCCACCCAACCTGATCAGCCAAAAAAAACATAGTTAAGAACTTTTACCTTCGAGCAAGACAACTAAAACCAGCTACAGTGTCAAGCCCAGGACTGGAGCCAAGAGCAGACACCACAGACCACAACCACAAACCATGAAACCCTTTCAACACAGCCTGCTTTCTAGCTAAAACACTTGTCTGCCTGAGACTTTACATTACTCCTGATTTTCCAAGCCGGTGGAATAATTTCTTGCAAGGCACCATCAAATGCTTTCCTTCAACCCAGTTAGGTAAGTTGCACCTCTTTTATTCAACAACTCCACTGCTGCACCAGAGACTAATGTCTTGACATTTCTGCCAGCAAAACCATGTTGCATCCCATTCGACTTCACAACTGCAATGGATCTTTCCTCTGTATCTGTTTTAAGATCTAAGATGCTACTGACAGGCCTGTTGCTGTCAGGTACTTCCCATTTTTGGAGTATGGGCATTGCTGTTGTTCCTCGCCTGACATCTGTACTGAGACTCCTCCTTACTGGTCCAGCAACTTCACTGCCAACTTTTTCTTATCCCAAACTCGGAATGATCCTCAAGGCCCCCATTTTATTGATGTTAAGCAGTCTACATTTTGCTTCAACTTTGGGCACAGCAATTTTCCAACACCTCATTCAGATCCATGCCGCACCTTCATCACCATCCACCACGATCAGCACTTGCAACAGAAGCAAAGCATCCATTTATTGCATGGCCCTTTCCTAGATCATTTGCCATCCCATCTTCTATCCACACACACTGCAAAATGAAAAGCTTCCTCGGATGACTGCCAGACACTCACGAGGATGCAATTTTGAATACCCAGCTGCAGAGCAGGGAGGGTCAGTCTGTTGCTCAAAAACCACGTACAGCTCCCAAAACAACATGGCCTGGCTCACAAGAGCATAATAACAACACAGGCTAAAAAGAGGTCTCACATCTCAGCGCGCAACACAACAACCCCGCACAGATCTGCAAACCCAAAGGTTTGTCCCCATGCAGCCTGTTGTTTCATGAGAAACATAAAAGTGGTTTGAGGCTTCCCCTTCTCCAACAGGAGCAGATGAACACCCCTGCAAAGACAGGACCTAAGGGTGCAGCAGGTGGAGAGCCGATAGTCTCATTTTGCATTAGGTCTCAGAGCAGTATCAGACAGTAAAATGGGAAGTGAAGGATTTTAGTGACCATGTTCTTCTGATACAGTTTGCCATGTCTAGACAAAGAGAGCTAAGCTGACATACCATCTCCTTGAAAGCTCAAAGCAGCCCCTCTAAGCCCACTGCAGTGTAAGGAATGGGTGTTACCTGCTAAGCGATTTGAGTGTCAGATCCGCAAGGGAATGTGATTATGTACAGCTACTAGGAGTTTCATGGGAAGCTACTGTTAGTTTTAATTATTTGCAACCTTTTGAGTTCCAGCAATTAGCTGTGACATACACAAAACCCATAATTTTCAGGACAAGTACGTTCCTGAAAAATTTTGAGGAACCACAGTCTTGAATAACTCACAATCTAGACCAAAAAAGTAGAATCTAAACCACTTGTTTAGTATCTCACAGACTGTTGTCATCACAACCAAAATCACACTTCCTTAAACTTCCCTATGAGAAGTCAGCAAATGCAGCAACACTTCTCCCCTTTTGTCCGCAGCTGAACTCTCAATTACCTCATTTTTGCTAACATGATCTAATCAGCTGGCAAAAATTAACAAATACACTACAACCCACCCCTCTAAACTTCAAGACTGGCTTGAACATGAAGCCAGACCAAGAAGGGAGCAGCCAAGATCCTAAAATCAGGAACAACAAAACACAAAGTGGGCAAGAGTCTGGATGCCCCGATCTCTCTGTACAAATGTGGAGATAAAAAGCACATGTGTATATATTTGGGTGTACACACAGCCATTTATGAGGGTTTTTTTACACTACTTCTAAACAATCTGGATACAAAATCATCCCAGACAAGTCTCTCCTCACACGATCTCTTGCCTATGAAATACTCCAAAATACTTTCCTGGCAAAGCATGCACGCAGGCGGCTGCCTTCCCCCAGTACGCACCTGCATCTTCGACGCAGTGGACACCAGCCAAAAACTCTCATCCTGCCCCCAGAACTGCAGCCTCATGTAATCAGGGGCCTCCAGAAAGACATTATGTGACCAAAAGGGAAGAGTCCCTTTTTGGCATTTATTAATAGAGTAGGTACTGGAGGAGAAAGATGAGCAAGTAATCCCTATTGCTCTACAAGAGTGAAGCTGCTGTTGAGACAGTCAATGTTTATGCTAAGCCTCAGGTTAAAAGGAGAAAAAAAAAACAAAACTTAAGCCTGTTCTGACATGAAGCTCTAAATTAACATCTCAATTCACTTCCAGAGCATCACCAGGGCCTCCCTGACCATACAGCAGAACAGAAACTCTGGCAGTCCAGCTCCACCACCCACATCTTAGCAGGATAAATTAATTAGGATTTATTTTCTTTGGGTTTCCTATTGTAATGCACACTAAAATGAAGTCTTAGCACGACTAACACTCCTAAGGCAGGATACCTGCAGGACCCAGCAAACACTGCAAGCGGATCTTGATAAAGCAGTTCAAATGCTGCATGCCAACTCTTTTAGCAAATTAATTAACATGACAGCCCACCCACATCATGTATTACCACTCATTAGCCTTCAAACTATAAAAGCACTCAAACAATCTTTTCCTTTCCTCCCTTATGCAGTCAGGACTTAAACATCGCATAGGCTGCGCCCCAGAACCAGCCACACACAATCCCAGCCCCAGCAGATGCCAAGTGATTTACATTTCAACTTCCTCTTCACTGAATCACTACCCAAAATAGCAACGTCATGCCTAATTTATTATTTTACCACTAATCATCAACTTCATTAAAAGCAACATAGGGATAACAAACAAGTGTTAAACACTTTCAATTAAGCTTAATTTTTTTCTCAAGGAAAACCCCATGCTATTTTCAATTATGGGAAGAGTTAGAAAGGGTTTTTACTGTGAGTTTTGTTGTTTGGTTTTTTAAAAACATATACAAGAGTCAGGAGTTCCCTAGATGCTACACAACTGATTAGGGAAGGAGGACATCCTGGGAGCAGCCCTGATTTTGAGTGGGGAGCTGGGGCACACCTTCCTCTGTCATCGGAGCTGGAAACATTCAAACATACCTCCTGAGATGACTCACTAGGGCAACTGCTGATCAAACACCAAGCCCACAACGGAGCTGCTCAAACGTAAACACGGAACCCGGCACCTGGGAGACGACCAGTTACATCCTGCATTAAACGAAGCAAAAGCAACCCTGGCATTCAGGTCACAGAATGTACATTCCACCATAACGCTGGAGAGAAAAGGTCTTATGTTGGCAAAAAGCTTGCGAGATCTGTTTGAAACAGTGCTCTCCCTGCTGCAATGGCTGCTCCCAAGTCGAGCACTGCAGGAGGAAGGAAGGCTGTGGATTGAAAAAGAGATCCAGGCTGCACATCGCTCCCGCCGGACCTCTTGGCCACCCTCCACGCCTGGCTCATGTCTTATTTGGAAAGTGTGGCCACGTTCCTCCCTGCCTAGTATGGGAAGGAAAGAGCTGGTCAATGTAGGCATGTCTCCTAACAACTGGAATAAGTGCCCTTGCTTGCGAACAAACGTTCTCTGGCTTCCCTAGCCAGAAGCAACCAGCCACGTAAGACAAAAATCAATCATTACATTCGCTGTATCAACAAATGTTCTCTTTTAAAAATAAGAGTGTGGATGAAGGTGGATTGTTTCTTTGCTCTCTGCAACCTGCCTCCATCTGCTGACACTGGAAAAAATACCCCGCTTTTCTTGAGTGGTACTGGCAAGAGTCGAAGTTTTGCTGAAGCTGTCAAGAGTACCTGACACCCAGCTGCCAGGAATTAGCAGAAGCCGAGAACCCGTATTCCTGGACAGTTCTGAATATCTCAGCGTAGTATCTTACAACATAACTTCACTGAACTGCCACCTGCATGTCACAACAGAGAGGGTTGGGAGCCCCAAATACCGCAAGGCACCTGGAAATTTCAAGTTGTGTAATCTACTCTAACCAAGAACAGAGTATGATTCAGCAACTTCAACTGAAACAGCTCTTAATTTTTTATGAAAAGCTGTTAAGCCACTATATACGACTATCCACAATTTAACAGCTGATGAGATGCAGCCTGCAGGATACAAACTTAAAAATAATTATCAGAAGCAAATCATACAGGAAGGAATTGCGAAGAGCATATACTCCTGCTCTCCTCTTTGGCACTGCAAAGATATTAAATCATCAAACACAGCCCAATAAAACAGACATCCAGACAGGTTTAAAAAAATAAAATACTGCTGTCTGCCATCTCTCAGTTACAGGACTCTCCATCAGACCAAATCGTACATCTTGTAATAACAGTGGTTACAGCTAGTACCAAACTAGCTGTCAGACAGTTCTGAGGAGCCCAAAGCTCTAAGGATTGCCCAACGGTGAAGGCAGGTCACAAGCTGACAACACAGTTCATTACTCAAGCTTTCCTCCTCTTGAAAACGTGTCTGATATGAAAATTAAATAGGCATAAGCATCAACAGAGAGACACAACTAACCATGAATAGGGAGTGAAGCTGTATTTCAACAGCTACGTTTACATGGAATAATTAAAGGAAAAATTGAAGTACACCTTTCCTATAACCCTCCCTTCCACACTCATCCTCTACTTCTTCCTACATACACAGTGTATGTTCACAGGCAAACAGACTGACTCACAGAGACAGACATGCTGGGTGCCCTAGATGGTTTTAAAGCTTTTACACCAATTCCCTACTTCGCACGCACCATCCTAACAGTCAACAATGCAGGAGCTTTGATTTCTCAGTGAGCCACTTCTCAGACATCCAACTGGAGATGGGAAAAGAGGTCTTCATTTCAGAGGATGTGTACTGTGCTTTCCAAATAAACAAGTTTCAACCTAAAGAAACTCAAGGTAACATGCCAAGCAAGTAGGTTCCCAAAATAGTACGGTCCCTTAGAAAATAAAGAGAAGTACAGAGCAAAAGCCAGACTCTATACACATGCTGTATCACAAACTGAATAAAGTGTTCTGCAAGTTTTCTCCCTTTTTCCACTGCAGTGCAACAGCTGCAGGTGCAACATGTCCAAGTTTGGTACCTTACGGTCCCTGAACCCGGAACGCTTCTTCTTCTTCCCTTCTGGCGGAGTCCCCTCGTCACCTGATGCAACGGCCTTTCTACCCTCCCTGCCACTGCTCTCCTCCTCCTCCTCGTGCTTCACCTTCTCGCTCGGCTCTGTCCTCGGATCGTGTTTTACAGAGGATGAGTCTTCCGCGTAGGCCCTGTACAAGGGAAAAGAAAACATTGGTTTAGGCAATTGAGAGGGGTGCTAAGGCTACAAAGATGGCCCTGCAAGGCTCTCCCTGAATGAAACACTTGTTACAGTTCAGCATGGAGGACTGCAAAGCAAAAGTAAAGCAGCGATCAGTGCTTTTCCCTGCTGTAATCAGATTTCCACCCCTCCACCCCAATACCCAACCTAATAATCACAGTGATTTTTCCCAGTCCAAGAACACCAGTACCCTCTCCCAAAAACCACACGTGCAAGAAAGATTGGGAAGGGCATACCATACCTCCTTTAGTGCTAAATTCCACCTCCACTCCCCCCAAAAAGATTTATATATAAGTGATAGAAATGTGTTTTACCATCAGCACTGCAGGACTCAGAAAGAAGAGCCTCTTTGTTTCAGCTCAGCTAATTTATTTTCTACCTCCAGCAGGTGACAGGCTGTTTTATGTCCCTCTTCCACCAATGACTCTTCTAAACTCCAGTGCTACAGGATTTGTGACAACAAAAACTGGAGTTGTTTATACTCAAGCTGGAAATACAACTCTGGCAGAGCAAAGGACCCCTGTCCCTTGCTGTTGAAATACAAAGATCTCTGGCGACCCTGTTTTTAGACCAAGACTCAATACTCAAAGTCGCTCAGTCTAAGCCACGAGCAACTTGCAGAATTGCAGCTGGCAATGGGGTGGTTAAATAAAAAGCAGGATAAATCCATAAGCCAAACAATGCTAGGGCTTTCCTATGCTTTACTTGTAAAGAGGTTTATAACCGGACAGAGCTCAGACCACATTAACATCAGTGAAAATATGATCTCTAAGGATACGTTAACATGTCACAAGCAACAAAGCAAATGGTTTGACGAAATTATTTCTCTTTCTAAAGGACTCAAACAGCTCAGGCAAACATCCCAGCCTGCCTGTAACTTAAGCAAAGCCACCTTTACTTTGCATTCCTGGTGATTTATTTTGGACTTATCACAGCATACAGGGCTTGCACACAGTTAGGTACCGCTCATTAGCCAGCAGCCTTCAGATGAAGGCTGGTACTTTGGTACTCCCTGTAACTGTGAACACAGTCACTTACAGCTGCATGAGTTTATTCAAGAAAGGATGCCTTGTGAGAAAAACAAACACAAACCAAGATTTTTGAAGTCTTCCAAGCTCTAAGCAAAAGGCTATGCATATTTCATCCTACCAGTTTCTTGGAAAACACAGGTGTGGTATGTAAAATTAACAGAGAAGAGTCTGTGCCCCTCTGCCAAGCAATACACACCTTTGCAGCAATCTCGGTGTATCATCTTGCAAAGAGAAGAAATGAGGGTAGGTGCTCCTTCAATTAATTTAAATGCTACCAAAATGAAAGACAATGCACTCCAATAATTCCCTAACAGTCACCGTACAGGATAAATGGGGAAGGACTAAAGAACTCAAATCCTTCCACAGTACTAGTGGAAGCTAAAACTTTATTATTCTAGAATAAACTCCAAAAGAGCATACTTAAGAACAGAGTGAATCACGATGACAGAAAATTAACTTTTGTTCATATTGAGATAACTACTTCAGCAAACTACCAAAAGCACTTGAACAACCACCACCAAGTTCTCAGCATTGCTTTGAAATGCGATAACCCATGGCACTACAGCTGGGTTAAAGCAGTTCAAGGGTTTGATTTAATGATACACACAAATGCCTGGTGAAGAGCAGTACCCACCAAGCCTTTTCATGCAAAATGGAGTCTAACATGCCAGCCTTTCCTTTCTGAAAAGGTCCTGAGCCTTTATCTGCCAATATATTTTCTTAAGTCTTACAGCAAACCACCATCCTTAAGACTTCCACTGAACCAAACTTTCCGAGACAAGATCCAAACCCGAGTCCTCCATGAGCATCTGAAGATAGGGAAATTATCTGCCCAGAAGAGCCTGGCAGCCGATCCATCTCTTGGAGCACCAAGTCCACACTGGCACCTCTCCTGAAGCCTTTCCTGAAAGTTTAATCAGCACTGGGACATCCTTGCAGAGTCGTGGTTTTGGCTGATACACAGTTTGCTAGAATAAGCTGTTGCCAGCTGAGGCTGCAACAGCAGTGCTGACAAGGAAAGCCCTTGTGTAGGCAGGACACGAGTCTTAAGTAGCTCTGAGAGAATCGCTTGGGAAAAGGTCCTGGGGACAGAAAAGCAATAGAAAATTGATTGCTTCTCCACACAACCACGCTAGTCTGTCTGAAACATGCCAGAGAATAGCTGTATCAGTGAAGATTTGCTCCTGTAATGCTTGACTGACAGCTAGCAAACCAGGGAAGGGATAGATAAAATTCAAAATCGAACATTTTCAGCAAATCCTACGCATTCCTTCAATCCATCACGCTGTCAAGCCAGTTGGCTACAGCGATACAGACGTAGGCTGTTCGAATACAGTCAGCTTTCTTCCCCCCCTCTGGTTTATCTACGTAATTAATTCTGCTCTACAGTTAGATCACCTCCCCAGCATACAAGCAAAATGCGCTATGAGAATAAAAGCGGAACTTTTAGTCTACTTCTCAAACAAGGTTTTAAACAGTACCTGCTATTCTTCACCTTCAGGCCACAGTCCAAACTACTCACTGAATTAACCATTGAATGATCCACTCTCTATGTACACCTACTACTCCGTGTATTTTACATCCTGCACAACCATCCTCTGTTGAAATTCTTGGCTTCCAACACCTGCAACTTCCATACTGCGCCCACATAAAGGAGTCTTTCAATGCAGATGTCAGAGCACTGCTGGAGAAACCCCATAGCTCCAGAAATATCCACCCTGCTGGACTGCCGTCACCAAGTGAAGACTCTTCACCTCCTTTTTTGATGAGACTGACTTTTCAATGGCATGCCTGTTGCTACAGCTTCTGCACAAAAGGGAAACGAAAATACAAAGACGCCCTTCACTGTGTGCCAAGGCTAGCTGCCAGCCTCTCTCCAGGGAGTGTGCCTGCCCCAGATCCTAGCTGCCAAGATTTGACCCTCCCAGTCTCTTTAGGTTTCCCCCCCCCCAGTGAATGGAATTTGAGGCAAACACGTTATTTCCCACCTAGTTAGTAATCTCTTTTTTTAATCCTTCGAGAAAGCCAACAATCAAGCATAAGATTTGGTTCATCATCCCCAAAGAAAACCACCTAGCTACCACAGAGGACTACTGAATGCTAAATTCCCCCTTAGCAAATCATTCTTTGAGAAAGCCAAACACATGCAACCCTAGGACATACATCCACAAAGTATCCGGGGACTCACACCAGGCATTGGCAGGATAGTCCACAGTTGCAGGTTTTCCAATTAAAGAAATCACAATCCCTCACTTAAAAGTATTTTTCTTCTTTGAGAGACAGAAGCAGACAAGTGTGCTAAAAGAACAAAGCTTCATGCCAGAGATAACAGTGCTCAGTTATTCTAATCCTGAAGACAGCAGAAAAGTACTTAGCTATCAGATGCTATTTAGTCTCAGAAGGAAACATAGGAGATCTAACAAGAAGTTGGGCACTCAGGGGTCAGCAAAGACCTTGCCACCAAACAAAAAGCAGGAGAGAGGAATCCTGCCCTACAGATGTGTTCTTCAGTTGAATAGAGTTGCCACTCTCCCTGCATGTAAACATCTGGAGACATCCTAGTGAGGTTTAAAAGCCACTTAAAACTTCAGGCTTTCGAAACACAAAAGCAAGCTTGGACACAAAGTTCATAAAAATAGGCAACCTCCAGGGATGGGGAGTACTTTAAGTGAGGAGCTCTGTCTCATCCTCAGCTCAATCATGTTCAGCAACTAAATTAGTTAGCTGAAACTTTAATAAGAAATTAACCAGAAATGATGAAAATCCACAGCCCAATTTTTCAGGATGTCACCCCACTCACAAGACTTTTTACTACTTTGCTTCCTTCCTTGTCTTTCACGGTACTTGACAATGACATCAATTAGCACAATGAATTTGTAGTAAGAACTGCAATGAACACACCAAAATTAAGACAGATTCCAGAGATGAACATGAACAATTAGACTGAAGAGACAGCTCTGGATACCAGCCATAGCCTAAAATAGGTCCAAGAACATAAGGAGACAGCAGTGTAGTCTGAGAGATATGAATGTCCTTCCTTCCACTCCAGCCAGTAGCGGGAACGTCCCTGCAGAAAGCGCCTTCAGCTACTGATGGTGCACTCCAAGGAAGAGCTGGACCAACCAGAGAAGATCTGACAGGGAGCAGCACGGAATGGTTAAGAGTCCAGAACACACTGTGGGAAAAACCGACCTAAATAAGTCAGATTGCTGTAAGAAAGATGGAAAAGAGGAAGGTGAGATACTGTAATATATATAAAACAGCTGCAGCAGGACTGTTCTCTTGGTCCAGCGAGGACAGGACAAGACACGGGACATGTTCTTAAGGACATCATAAGGGAAGAGACTTATACACTAGGGAAAG